GGCATCTCAGGCCAGCGTGGTGCAGACAGTGGGACCAACTTCAGGAGGTGCTGGAGCTGCTCCAACAACCTGGAGAGAGGCGGAGGGCGTGCGGGGTCTCCTGGGGAATCTGGTACTGGCCTCCAAGGAGGAAAGCTAAAGCGAGGCCCTTCTGAGGAAGGGAAACCTGGAGACCTCGATGCCATCTCATGCGGTACTGCCTTTTACATGGTTTTGTTTGTGGATCTGATAAATCTACATCTCCGATGTTTATAAGCCCAATCCCCTGGACACCGCAGCTCTTTTCAGTTTTCACTTATACACAATTCCTTCTTTGCAGCTAATTAAGCTGAAGAAGCCGGGGAAGAAAGCTTCAAGCAAATGTTAAAAAAAAAAAATTCTCTTAATGGGAAATCAGCTCATAGCCTGTGACGGGAGTGATAGGCTCCATCACTTCTGACACACCCTGCTGCTTCTCCTCACCCCAAAAGGCCCGAGCGAGGAGTAAGCAGGTGTGATCGGCAGGACCACGTGGCTGTCATCCTACAGCCACTGTAGCCCCCAGAGCTAGTGACAGAGGACACAGTGGGTGCTGGGGGGTCTCCAGCCAGAAGCTGACCCTCTGCACAGGAGGAACCTGCACAGGAGGAACCACAGATCTGGGCTGGCCGGATCTGAGCCCCTCCTCACCATCACCCAAAATCAGGGTCGCCCTGGGTTGGGGTTAGAGGCTAGACGACCGGGGCAGTCCCCACTGTAGGGAGGAGGCGCCACGGGATGCAGGGAGGTAGGGCTGAATGATTGGCTTTTAAGGAGAAAATCTGATACAAAGGCAGTTTTATTATTGTCAAATACATGGAAGCATTTATGACATAATTTAAAACATGAATACACTGAAGAAATTTACCGTATGCTCTTGGTGGCACCATGGGAGGTAAGGGAAGTAGAAGATCATCTCCTTCTTAAGGAATTACACTGTAAAGAACTAGGGATAAAATATGATTCGACTCTCAGTTCAAACTCGAAAGTGAATCTTGAAGTGGTTGCCAAGGGAAACTGCAGAGTAGCTGTAAAATCAGCAAACCCACCACCGTCTGCGGCGCTACAGAAGGGGGCGTGTAGGCATCTCCTAGCAGAACATTTGTCAAAGGCAAATAGAAAGGCAAAAAAAACCCATAACAAGGTCACTAAGTAAAAGCATTTTGCTGGGCTTGAGATGCCCACAGAAATTCAGAAGAGAGAGACAAAAAGATCAAAGCAGGTAGAGAGAAGTGAAGGGATGTGGAACACAGCTAAAACCGATCCAGCACAAGGATAATGCGTACAGCAGCCAGTGTCATACGTAACAGCTCCCCAAAGGTATCCACGCTATAATCCTCAGAATACGTGACTCTAGGAGGTTACATGGCAAAGGGCAGATAAGGTTGCAGAAGGAATTAGGTTTGCTACCTGGGTGATCTTTAATACAGAGATTATCATGGATTAACAAATGGGCCCAGTGCCATCACAAGGGCTCCTGAAAGCAGAAGAGAGAGAGTCAGGCTGGGGGGTGCAGCGTGAGACAGGTAGCATTACTACTGTCAGCTTCGAAGGCGAGGAAGGGGCCTGGAGCCGGGGAGTGCGGGAGGCTTCCAGAAGCTGGGAAAGGCAAGCAAACAGACTCACTGCTGGCACCTCCAGAAAGGACACAGCCCCTACCAACACCTCAATTTCATCCCAGGGAGATGGTGTCCCCCCAGAATTGTCAGATAATAAACCTGTGTTTTAAGCTACTAAGTTTGTGGCAATTTGCCCAGCAGCAATAGGAAACCTGATGTAAACACCAATCAATGTAACAGATGTTTTAGGGACATAAAGTAAATTTCCCTGAAATTAAATACAAAATCTGCAAATTCAAAGAGTACACAGTGTATCAGAAGTTCAACACCAAACATTCGACTTTGAGACACGTCTGCTTAAGCTGAGGAACTCGGAAGGAAAGGCAAATCACCTACAAGGAGAGACCAGCGGACCTCAGAGCGAGTGAGCGAGCCCAGTGGAGCCATGGTGACAAAGTGTGAAGGGAAAGAACATACAGCCTGAGGACACATTCTAACCTAACCGAGATACTGTTCACAGATAAAGACAAAGGACAGACATTCTCAAACCTGAAAATACTCATGAGCACTTCCCGGAAAATGGCTGGAAATGAAATGTAGCTAATTAGAGGGACAGCAAAATACAGAAGTCAGAGACACAGTGGTGGAGAAAAGACTCATGGTCAGCATCTGATACTGAGGGACTGCGGGCACTGTAACCCCAGTACAGAAACCGGGGCAAATTTAGAGCAAGAGGGGTACACATGAGGAGGGGGGTAGGGGGCTGGAAACGGGATGGGAACAGGAGGCTGGAAATTGCCCTCCACTTCCGATGCTCCCTGAAGCACTGATGCAAAGTGAAATGTGTCTTTAATATTAATAGTAATAGTAATAATACTGACAATGATTCCAACTCCTTACAATCTCCTGGAAAGTGACTTTTTAACCTAAATCCTCCCTCTGTGTCAAGGAAAAACCTTTAGAAGAAAGCATTAACTAGTTGCTTTTACAAGTGCTCAGTTTGCATATAACAAAAAGTAACACAACAAAGCGTACCCAAGCCTCTGTTCAAACAACCAGGACACATATTCTGTCCACACTCCTCCCATTTGCTGTACATCACTCACTGACTACAAGAACTCAAAACTACAGCTTGTTCCCCCCAGGCACACAGTTTAAAAGCCCGATGCTTTATTTGTTCAAAGTTTACTCCTCCACCCACTGCGCCCCAGGCCCTGAGGACACCAGCTTGGAGGAAACAGACAAAACCCCGCTGCCCTCCTGCAGCTTGAGCCCCAGAGCTGAGCCTTCCAGCAGGGCTCTGCCACACCTGTCAGGAGCCAAGTGCTGGGCACTTGAACGTGGCTAATATGAACCTTTCATCGTATCTTATTTTCACTCCTTTAAATTTAAAAAATCTCACGTGGCTGATGGCATCACCCTGGATAACACAGATCTGGAATCAGAGACAGAATCTGCATTTTCACAAGTCCCCTGGGTGACTCACACTGGCAGCTTCAGGAAGAGTCCAGGATCTTGGCATAGGTTCTCCAGAACCAACCCAAAACTCTCCCCAACTTTCTCCCCCCCCCACACCTCCAATCTTAAAGGCCTGTCTCAGGCCATTCCACCTAAGTCGCTCACATCCCTGCTCAGAAGCTACAGGCTTCCTCCCTCTGCCAGCTCCGCAGACCACGTTCTCTTTTTACGTCTCTCATCCCCACATAGCCCACCTTGGGTCCTACCACAACCTTTGCCCTGCACCTCCTGCCCTCTTGCCTCAAATCAAGTTATCTCCCAGTGAGGTCCCCTGGACCCAAAACTTCCTCCTCTGCACTGTCTTTTTAAGCCTACGCTGCCCGGTGAGGGCGGGAAGCACACACCTAGGCTGGCTTGAACATCAAGACTCCACTTCCCGGGCTGCCCTCTTCTGCTTCTGGAGAACCCGACTGCAAGCCCAGGAGACAGAGAGGGGCAAGACCCTGAGCAGCCAGGTTTGTGTTGGAAGTGCGCCTTGAGCCCCTGACGTGACAGTGAAAAGGTGATCGCCGGCAGGTGCCCTTCACAGCCACCCGACCTGCAGACCCGCACCTGGGTGAAGACCCTGACTCTCCTGCCTGCTGGCCCAGCTTTCTGCCCACCTCACTTTCCTCTCCTCTACCCTGCCCTTCTTTCCCTCCTAATGTCCACCCCGTCTTGGGGCCTTCGGCCCTCAAACCTCAAACTTTGGGGAACCTCTGCCCACTGTCCTCAAGCTCTGAGTCCTCTGGCTTTTCCCCACACGGAACCCACACTCCTTCACTTTCTATGGTGCTTCCCTTTCTCGCCCTCAGGCCGCATTCCCGAGGGTCATTTGGGTTTCTTGCCCTCCCGGGCCTGTTCGCCAGGGCGAGGAGCCCCTCGGACACGCCAGGAACCTTGGAGAAGCGTCCAGACTAGTTCTCTTGCTTCCTCTCTCCCTCCCCTTCCATCTCACCCACGCGCAGAGCCACCACCTGGGAGCCTCCGCCCGCTGCGCTCGGATCCCACCGCCCATTCCCTCCCGCCCACTTCTTAACCCCCACGCATCCTTTCCAAACGCGTTGCACGCGCTTGTGGCCTCCCGGCTGGGCCCACTTACAGCAGCCCGGCTACCTCCTCCCCAAACCCCACCTGTGTGGTCCGTCCGCTCCCCTCCGCCTAGTCCGTCAGCCCGGTTCAGAAGTACCCCAGCACCCTGCCCAGCCGCTAGTTCCCGCGGGGAAGCGGACCTTGGTGAGACTACGGAGGACGCGCTGCATTCCCCTCGTGGGAACTGGGAGTGCAGCGGGGGATTCCCTCGAAGCGCGCGCCCGACTCAGGCAGAGAGGCGGGAGCTGAGCCCTGCGCTCCTGGATCCGCGTCCCTTCGCGCATTCCACCCCCGCTCCTCTCTGCGCCCCCTCGGCCCCGCTCCCAGTCCCCGCACCTCCAGCTCTACTCTGGTGCCTGGGTTCGGCTCCACCCGGCCCGCCGCGCCCTCCCCGGGTCGCCGGTGCGCTCCCTGGCCCTCTGCGCGCTCCCTTGGTCTCCTCCCCTGCACTCCCTGGCCCGCTGCGCGTTCCCCCGGCCCAAGGCGCTCCCTCGGCCCCTCTCCTCCCAGGCCGCCGCGCGCTCTCCCGAGCGCTCCCTGGCCCGCCGCGCGCTTCCCCGGTTCCCCGTGCGCTCCCTGGCCCGCCGCGCGCTCCCCCCCCCCGGCCCCCCGTCAGCTCCCCGGCCCGCTGCGCGTTCCCCTGGTTTCCCGTGCGCTCCCGGGCCCGCCGCGCGCTCCCCCGGCACCCCCTGCACTCCCGGGCCCGCCGCGCGCTCCTCCGGCCCCGCCCCCACCCCACCCCCGGCTCGCCGCGCGCTCCTCGGGCCCTTTGCGCTCCCCCGGCCCACCGCGCGCTCCTTGGGCTCTGTTCCCCCGTCCTGGCCCCGCGCTCACCCGCCGGGTGGCCGTACGGGGACTCGGCCGCGCCATCCTGCAGGCTTGCCAGGATCTCGCCTTTGCCCACGTCGCTGTCGCCCACAAGCAAGAACTTGAGCAGGAAGTCGTAAGCGCGGACAGGGCTGCCCAGGGTGCTCATCGTGCCGCCGCCGATGCCTGCGCCCATGCCCGGCCCGCGGGACGGCGCAGAGGCGGCTGCCGGGCACCCAAGCGCCGAGCTGGCCCCGCCGTCCACAGATCGCCGCGGGCCGGCGGCCCCCGCAGCTGACAGCGCGTAGCCCCGCCCCACCACGCCCGCCCCGCCCCGCCATTGGCGAGCCGCAGTTGCTAGGGCAGCTGCGCGCGCTCATTGACTGGGCTGCCCGTCCATCTCTCTTTCGTCTCCGCCTCCAGGCCATAGTCCACACGCCCCTCCCAGGAAGATCTGTTAGTCGCCGCTGTTGCTAGACTGGGGGCGGGGCAGGGGCGGGGCGGAGGGCGGGGACCAAAGGCGACGTTGTTACGGCCACAGCCAATGAGGTCCGGAGGCGGGGTGGGGCGGAGCCAGGGGGCGGGGAGTGCAGGGGCCGGGCTGGGTCTCGCGCTGCTGTGAAGCGGCGAGGGTGATGCCCGGCCGGGGCGTGGGCCGGGCTTCAGGGACGGCCAGCCGGCTGCCGCGTCCTCCACGTCCTGCCACCTGGAGACGTCGCTGGGACGGGTGGGGGAGCCGCAAGGGCGGGTTCCGTTCGCGGACAAGCAGCCGGGAGGCCAGGGCCAGGTCGCCTGGCGTCAAGGTCCCTGTCCTGGTGAGCCTGGGCTCGCGGTGTCCCCCACGGTTCCTCCAGAACCTCGTCTTTGTCCCAGAGCGCGTGGTGCGCGTGCCTGTGTGCGCGCGTGCGCCTGTGTACATGTGCACGTGTTCGTGTGTGTGCCTACGTGCTTGTTCGTGTGCATCTATGCGCCTCCGCTTGTGTGAATGTGTGTGTGTGCATGTGTCTGCGCACGTGCGCCTGTGTGCGTGTGTTTGTGCGGGGGCTGGGGGAGAGGACAAGGTGGGGACCCTCCAGTCCCCAGACTTCTCTCCCTATCTAGGGGGTAATGGGCGGTGGAGGGAGATTGGCCTGATTGGCTCTCAGATCCAATACCAAAATTCCCATGTAGGTATCGGCCCTGATGGGAATCCATGCCCACCTCTGGACCAATCAACTGTAGTAGGAAGCTCTGACTTCCTACCCACAGGGAAGATCTCTTCAGGCTTGGCAACCTTGTATCATTCATCTTAGAATATCCTCTGAGTATGCATAATCAAGGTCCCCACCAGACAACGCCCGGGGCTCCACCCTTGAGATGTGGGTCAGCCTGGCGGTGCACTCAGTGCTGGGCAGAATGGGGTCTGGGTGCACTCTTGTGCATCCTGTCTAATTAAAGTGACCCACTTGCACACCTGCCATCTCCACATTCTGGGCTATCTGCAGCTCTGGGAAAGGCACAGTTACTGGAAAATGTGCTCCCTTGTCACAAGCAGCAGGTGCAGATTTCACAAACACACACAAACACGAGAAGCCCCTGCCAGTCGTGAGCAGAAGGGGCCTATCTTCATCAGCTTGGGCTGCTATGACAAAATACCCCAGGCTGGGGGCTTAAACCGCAGATATTTACTTCTCACTGTTCTGTAGAAGTCCATGACCAAGGTACTGGCTGTTTTGGTTCCTGTTGAGACTCTCTTCCTGGCTTGCAGATGGCTGCCTTCTTCCTATGTCCTCACACGGCAGGAGTTCTAAGGACACTAATCCCATCTCAAGGGCCCCACTCTGATGATATTATCTGGCTCTAATTACCTTCCAAAGGCCGCATCTCCAGGTATTACCATACTGGGATTTAGGGCTTCAGTATATGGATTCGGGGGGCATATTCAGTCCACAACAGGGCCCATGGTGGGGAGGGGCCCTGGGCCTACCCAGAGCAAGAATGAGTCCTGGAGTGTGGAGTTCTGCCCACTGAGAGCTGGGGCTGGGATGTTTGTGCCCACCAATTCCTCAGCTAGCCTTTCCCGGTGCCCTTGGATGGTCTCAGGGTCTAGAGCAGGGTGTCTGAACCAGCTCCAGGATTATTCTCTGTGGTGGATTGTCCTGTGCATTGCTGGATACTGAGCAGCGTCCCTGACCCCCATCCATTAGAAGCCAGTGCACTCCTCTCCCAGTTGTAACCACTAAAAATGTCTCCAGAATTGCCCATGGCAACCCCTCACCTTGAAAGGAAAACAGGTAGGTCCCCCCTCCCACCCCTGGCAGCTCCCATGAACACCTCTTGGCAGATTGTGACTGATCTCAGTTTCCTCTGACTGTGACATTAAGTGGTAAGTGCAGGTCATATGTGACTCCAGGGAAAAGGGGAGGAGAATCTTCCCACACTGTCCCTGGGGCCAGGGACAAGGGTATAAAGTGGTCCAGGCCTATGGTGAGAGCCCCGGGACGTCTGTGGTCGCCCACTTTAACCTCATGGCAATCCTGAGGGGTGGAGCTTGTCATTACTACTATAGTGAGGGAAGGAGGGCTCAGAGCAACTGGGAGGACCGGAGGCCCTGCCCATAGCTTCCAATGTCGGAGCTGGACGGTACAGCAAGACAGCTCCAGTTTTGTTTTGTTTTTATTTTTAAGTTTTAAAATATATATAACATACAATTTAGGTGTACAGCTCAGTGACATGAAGCACATTCACACTGTGCAACCATCACCACCAATCATCTGCAGAGTGTTTTCATCTTTCTCAAGCTGAAACTCTGTCCCCATTAAACACTAAATTCCCATCTGCCTCCCCAGCCCCTGGAAACCACCATTCTACCTTCTGTCTATGAATTTGACGGCTCTAGGAACCTCATATAAATAGAACCATACAGTATTCATCCTTTTGTGACTGGGTTATTTCACTTAGCGTGTCTTCCCTGTTCACAATGTTGTGGCAAGTGTCACAATTTCCTTCCTTTTTTATTTATTTATTTATTTTTTTTAAATTAACAGTAATTTCTTTTTTTTTTTAAGATTTTATTTATTTATTTGAGAGAGAGAGAATGAGAGATAGAGAGCACGAGAGGGAAGAGGGTCAGAGGGAGAAGCAGACTCCCTGCTGAGCAGGGAGCCCGATGTGGGACTCGATCCCGGGACTCCAGGATCATGACCTGAGCCGAAGGCAGTCGCTTAACCAACTGAGCCACCCAGGCGCCCACAATTTCCTTCCTTTTTTAAAGCTGAATAACATTCCATAGTGTGGATGGACCACATTTTGCTTATCTATTAATCTGTGGGTGGACATTTGGGTTGTTTCCACCCTTTGGCTCTGAGAATAGAGTTGCTTTGAACATTTGTGTACAAGTTTCTGTGTGGACGTATGCGTTTATGTCCCTTATGTTGGCATGGAATGTCTGGGTCCTGTAGTAACTATGTTTAATCATGGAACTGCCTGTCACCTGTCTTGTTTCTGAAACACAGAGCTCATTCCACACAGTTGGTTTCTGTGTGACATTGTGCAGTGGACTCTGGTCTAGAGCACCATCCAGGGGTCCTTTACTATGAAAAGTGGAGGAAAGAAGGAATATCTGCCATCTGTGGATGATATGCAAAGAATCTCTTTACATAATGTGAAAGTTTTATCCCATTTGACTATGGAAAAGCATTTCTTAGTTTCTTTCTCTGATGCTTAAAAAAAAATAGACCGAGGAACTAAAAAGGGACTGACCATATTTTCTCCAAAGCCAGGCACTTGCACACACCAATTAACTAATCTTATTTCTCTCCCCTGCTGACAAGTAAATAGCAACTAACAGCTGAGCACAGTTTCACACTGAGTGCATGGTTGCTGATGACTCACCAAGAATTCACAGCCAAGGTGCCAGTTGTTCTTCCGCCATAGAAAGAAAACCTATTTTAGGCAAAAGTGTAACCTCACGGATGCTCCAGAAAGTACTGAGTCTCTAGACAGAATCAATTTAATGTAGGTTTCCTATCAGAGATTTGCCCCGCCCAGACCCCGCCCTCTTCCCCGACCACCCACCGCTCCAACCACCCGCTGCCCCGCCTAGGCCCCGCCTACCAGCGGCCCCCCCCTCAGACCCCGCCCATCCGCTGCTCTGTCCAGATCCCGCCCACCCACGGATCCGCCCGGATCCGCCCACCCACGGATCCGCCCAGACCCCACCCACTGCCCCGCCCGGACCCCCGCCCATCCACGGCTCCGCCCAGACCCGTCCTAACCGCTCCACCTCCCAGACCCCGCCCACCCACTGCTCCGTCCAGACCCCGCCCACCCACTGCCCCGCCCGGACCCCCCGCCCATCCACGGCTCCGCCCAGACCCGCGCTAGGCGCTGCCCCGCCCGCTGCCCCGCCCGCTGCCCCGCCCGCCCCGTCCAGCCCGCCCACCCACCGCTCCGCCCGGACCCCGCCCGCCGCCCCGCCCTTCGCCCCTCGCCCCTCTCCCCTCAGCCCTCACCCCTGTCCGGCCCAGAAGGCCGGGTCCTCCGCACGCCACCTTCCACTTCGGGGCCATGCTCGCGCTTCTGCGCCTCCGTTTCCCGACGCTGGCCTGTGGTGATCCTGCTCGGGACGGTTCACAGCAGCCCACCGGGGAGCAGATGGGAGGGGATCTTCCGCGTCCCCTCCGCCCTCCTCCCCGGGCCCGCTCCGCCGCCCCTTGCTGTCGGGGAGGGATTGGGGTGGGAAGCTAGGGGGCCAGGCGGAAGCGCTAGGGACTGAAGGCAGGAGCCCCGGGAGCGGCCATTCCGGGCCGCACCGACAGGCGGCGCGAGTCCCGCCACGCGCTGCCCCCGGCCGAGCCCGACCCCGGCCGGAGCGGGCGGGAGGGTCCGGGGGCTGCGTGGTGGGGTCTCCGGGAATGAGGGCCGCCCCCGCCCCCTGCTCTTTGGGACCCAGCGAACGCTCCGTCAGGACGGCGGGGAAGCCGGGAGGTGGGCGGCGGGACCCCCCCCAGGACAGGCGCGACCTTGAGGACCCGCGAGGTGCCCCTGAGAACCGACCGCGCTCTTGGGAATGCTCCTTTGTGTCTCCGTCGGAGTGGCGCTCGCATCCGTAGACGCACCTGGGGAGTGCCGCGAGCTTGGTTTGCGCTTTGAGGTCAGAGGGAGTCAGAGGTTTGCCAGAGATGGGATCCTGACGCCACCGTTTCCCGCCTGGATGGCCTTGGGCAAGCAACCTCCGTCCCTGGGCCTCAGTGTCCCCTTTTCTTAAGCGAGAAGGGTTCCTTGTGAGAAGTGCAGGAGTAGCACACATCACTGGGGT